AGGGGAGAGTGCTGAGCTGTGGAGGGATGGGCAGAGATGAGTTCTCAGCAGCTCAGACTGTGTATCTTGTGCAGAGCTACCAAACACCCCGGGGCACATCACTCATGTCTGTCCAAGGCAGCATTTGGTCCTGATAGGAGGTTCCGACTGCCTGAGAAACTCAGAAGCCAACAATAAAATGGAAATATATGCAAGAAACCTGACAGTAGAATGAAATAGTCCACAAACATTACTGTCAAGAAGCATGTGCCCTGTGGTGGATGGCAGGATGACTGGAGTGGGGGATGGAGGGGGGTGGGAAATGCTGCTGAAGCCCTGTGTGTGGGGTGGCTGGTGGGGCATGCACCTGGGGTCTCAACTGTATGCTCTCTCTGGCTGGTGCTGTCACTCTCCCTAGCGAAAAGGACCCACCAAGAACCCAACACCCTTCCTGCAGCTGCTACCCCTCAATCGGTCTGGCTACTGCCCACTGCTGGGCCCGATGGGCTGGCTGCCGGCTTTGCTTTCGTCTCCCTTGCCCTCTTTATCGGATAATGTTGAGTATCTTTCATATCTCTTTTTTTAGCTCCTTTGATATTTTTAGGTGCAAGAGACATTTTCAGTGGCATTTATTAATTTTTCTGTCTACAACAATTGTACATATGTTTAAGGCAGAAAAATTTTTAAAGTTAGAAAATACCTCAAAGAAAAACCACTAGTGACAATAGTAACATTTTGGTTAGCAGAGAAACAAGCCACCAGAGCTCCCACTAACAAGATTTTGATGTTTGTCTTTCTTAGCTTTTTTTCTTGACATAAATATACATTCTTTTTTAAATGGTAAACATCATACCATACAACTGATCAGCTAACTATGCTGTTACTTAGATGTCTTAGAAAGTACATGTCCTATTAGAAGATATTATGAACATTATCACCATTGGCTACATATAGCCCATCTGTCTAGGGAGCTGAAAACGAGACATAAGGGCTCCGGGCTGTGAGCATCTCTCTGAAAGGGCTACAGAGAGTGAGAATAGCACAGCCCTTCACAGCCACAGAGCAGAAAGCAGATAAAGAGGCCACAGCCCAGCTTCATGGTGCCTCCAGAGCCACAGCACCAGTAAGGGGTTTGTTTATTCATTGTTGACTCACAGACTCACAGTTGTGGTACCAAATATGGACTTTATTAGGGAAGTAAGTTGGAGAGTGGGAGAGCCAAAAACTATCTCACAAGTATAGGTTTTAGTCCAAAAGTTTCAAGGCACAAATCCTCAATTAGTCCAGGGCCAGAATCAATACAGCAAGCAGCTTTTCCTTCCGCCATCAAAGGCAAGACCAGCAAAACTTTTAAATGCAGCCAGCACAAATGCAAGAAGCCACAGGTCACACCTGCCACCGTTTCTCCACAGCAATGCCACAGTCTCTCCACCACCATCACCAGGATCTCACCCTCACCCGAGTCTTGCTTCAGTCTCCCTCAAGTCTTGCTCGTCTCAAGTTCTGCTGCTACAAGTCTTACTGCCCAGTGTGGGAAGCACTCTTTCTCTTATCCTAGTCCCACAGTTGTTGAAGATTTGTAAGACCATGTGTCTGCAGTTAAGGTAGCTGGAGACAAGAGGGGGCTAACTATAATGACTAAAAAAAGCCAATTTTAGGTTAACACCACATCATCTCAAGAACATAATGTATCTTATTTACTTCCTCTCCTACTGCCCGCCATTCAGCTGGTTTTGTTGCTGTTACATACTGTTGAACAGGAACCAATTCCTAGCTGACCCTCTAAAGGGTTTTCAGAGGCAGTAAACTGCAATAGAAGAAATTGTCCATCTGTCTCCTACCATGCCACAGAGCTCCACACTAAAGACGAAGTGGGAGGTAGAGAAGTGTACAAACAAATATTAATCAGGGTGGACCCTTCCCCTGCAATTTCAGAGAAGAGTCAGATCTCTAAATTTTTCTGCAAGTTGTGAGAACAGATAGTTTATAGATGAGACCTTGGAATAATTATACTGCCTTTCCTCTCGAGGAAGGTATTCACAAGACCCTCTGAATAAGCAAACATTCCTAAGTCAGTTTTCCTCACATAACTAGTGTCGAGCAGCTGGTTAGGGCTGGGGATTTTCCAATAATGATTTTAGGGCAGGAACTGTAGTCACAATACTGCTTGTTTCAAAAGACTACGCCTACAACATTTTTTGTAGACCACGGCTGGATTTGAATCCTAGAGGTTACAATGCTTTCATTTTACTTCTTGTTTCAGTTATTCCTAAAGTCTTTATAAAACAGTTGTCCAAGTCTCATGAAACAACTGGGAAAGTACCAGGATAAATATCAATAGATTTCTTCAGATTCAATATAAAAACCAGTTGCTGTCTAGTCAATTCTGAGTCATGTGTGTCAGACTGTAGTAGAAACTATCTTACTCTGAGTCATGGTCACAAATTTGAAACCCATTTTAGAGTGATCACTGCCCATGCAGGGTAGTACTTCAATACAATATTTAAATATTTTTTTTAAAAATGTGAGCTGATCAAAAGAATTAATCTGAAAATACTCAGGACTCCCTCTTCCTTTAATTTTTCTAATATGCAGCTCTGAATAAACAGACAGTAGCTCTTTAATTGAGGGGCGGGGGGAACAAAATTTAAGATCTTATGTCAATATTTTTAAAAAGTCTCAAGGGACATCAAGGTCAGCTGACAGAATATAGTCCACAGAGAAAATGCTGTCCATTGTACAATGGTGACTAGCAACTAAAATCATAAAAGCCTTGTGAGCATTCATCTATGGTATAACTACTAGTCTTTCCTTGTCTGAAGCAAAGAAGAATGAAGAAAAAAAAAACATGCAACCAATAGCCCAAAGGACTAATAGACTCAACCTCCAATACCCCGAGACATGAACTAGATGGTGGCTGGTTACCTACCACTACAAACTGCTCTGAACAGAACACACTCTCAGATCCTGCCTGGAATGGGAAGACAGTGTGGAACAAAACTAAAAATCTTTACAAAATAAGGGCAAATCTCACAGGTCAAAAAGAGACTGGTGAAACCCTTAAGTCTATGATCCTTAGCCACTTTCAGAACATTCCCCTGTGGCTCAATTTTCAGTCAAACAATAGAAGAATTGCTAAAGTGAGTAATAAGCCTAGGGAAGTGAATATACAATTCTGAACAATCAGTCACTTATGACTAAATGGGCAGCACTAGCCAAAGGACAGACTTGAGAAGCCAGGAACGGATAGGACAGAGGATTGGAAATAGAATCAGAGGCGTGGCAGGGAGGAGTGGCAATCACAATCAATGGCATGAAGCCAAATATGTACAATCTGCAGACTAAAAACTAATTTACTCTATAAATTTTCACCCAAATCACAAAAACAAAACCAGAAGAGATCACCTTGGCCCATTACAAATGAGCAGTGAAAAGCATAAGACTCTCTTTTCAAAAGGTAATACTGGGTCATTTTGTACTATGACACACTTGGATGACATAAGGGATCAAAATAATCATTTCTAGAACACGGCCGTGGCCATAACCTGATTATCAATATACTAAGTTGCTGATCTCCTCACATTTCAGGTTAGTTACCATTTTGAAAGCAGACACTTTCTATATGTGTAATCATATGAAAAAGTTTGAGAAATTCTGATTTATGTAATTAGAAAGTCTTATGAACAGCATCTCCTTATTTTGAAAAATCTGCTAGGATATACACCCATGTTTATCTTGGCTTTGTTCACAACAGCAAGGAGTTGGAAACAACCTAAGTGCCCATCAACAAACGAATGGATAGAGAAGCTGTGGTATATTCGCACAATGGAATACTACGCTGCATTGAAAGACAAGGAACTCATGCAATATTATTCAAAATGGGTGGCCCTGGAGGACATTATGCTGAGTGAAGTATCTCAGTCACAAAAAGACAAATACTGCATGGTGCCACTGTTGTAAAACTAAGGACTGGCATTGGGGTGGGGAGGGACTGAGAAAGATGGGATAAATAATGCATACTGCATTGAAACAGCTTAAACATTGTTTGAAAGGAAGGTGTGATTCAGTATTTTTGTCACAACTGGAGTCCAGAGCTGAAGGCTGCATAGTTGAGTGGACCTGGGGGGAAGGATTGTAAAACAATGAAAGAATTTTTCTTTTGCTTTTCCAAGAGGGGAGTGTACTGGGCGGGAGGGGTGGGTGGAGAGAAATGTGCAACAAGGAATGAATGGAAATCCAAAGTCTCTGTAAATTTTCATTGAAATTAATAATAAAAAAAATTTTTAAAAAAATTCTGCTAGGGAAGACCTTGTCATTAAGCCACCTAATGCACCTTAACTTCTGACTGGATAAAATCCTATTTGGGCATTCAGCACTGAAAAGGAGTTTCTTCTCTACTAAACAGGTAGATTCTTAGAAATGAGTGTGAATGAACTAATTTTAGAATGGGTTTCTAGGAAGCTCATGTGTGTGCTCAACTTGACCAACATCCTTAACCTAAGATACTTATCTCATTTATAGTAATTTCCTGCATTTCATCATGGACTCAGTTATTTTACTACTTTGTTTCAAAAATTTGGTTACATATATATCTAGGAATGAAGCCCACATTTGGGAAGTAGGTTGGACTGAAAACAATACACGAATAAAATAAAATTATAGGAAAATATGTATACATTAGTCAATATATTACTGCAAGCACCATTCTAAGAATGGGGATGGCAATCAACAACAACTAAAAGGGAAATAATAAAACTTACCAGATCAATCATGTGAATTGTAACTCAAAAAGAAAACATACACAAGACAAAAAAAAGCTAGTATGTTCATTATGGTATATAATTTTATATAGGTTTTTCATTTGAATAACAACTTTAAGATGAGTCACAGGAAATTGCCATTCTTGCAGATCAATAGTGGGTGAATACTGGTAATTTCATACAGTTAATCCTGAACAGGAAATAAAAACGTTCATTTGTTAATAGATGTTAATATACATAGAGTTAACAGAATTGTCTCACCTGAATGACCTCAGCATTCGATAGGATTTTCCTAAATCAGATACTCGTCTGCACAACGGGCCCACAGCCAACTCCATCTGAAAGAGTAAAAATTTTCTGTGTCTGAGCTTCGCTGAGGTAGAGATGCAGACCTTAGGGAAGACCCACCCTGACTGGTTGAGCCCAGTGGCACCATCGAGAACATCACAGCCAAAATCCAAGATAAGAGGGCATCCCTCTTGACCAGCAGAGTCTGATATCTATGGGCAAACAGCTATAGGATAGCCTGTACCCACTGTGACTACAATATCCCGGTGGAGTCCACCGGGTTTTCTGTACACATGGCATTATCAAGCCTTCCTTACACCAGTTGAGTTGGCCCAGAAGTACAACTGCAAGATGATCTGTCGCATGTGTTAGGCTCTGCTGCACCCCCATGCTGTAACTGCCGCAAGAAATGTCGGTACATCAACAATCTGAGCCCCAAGAAGGAGGTCCTTTGCCTCCTCCAAGTGGACTTCTCTTGAGCTCCATGGTCCTGGGCCCTCAAGAAAGACTCCCTTTCACTAAAGTAAGGAGGTGTGTGAGGGAGTTTTCTATGTCTGAATCTAAAGGTGAATTTGGGACACACATAGATCACAGAAAATTTGCAGTAAATGTCATTTTATCTGGATGGTGAGGCAAGTTTGAAGGCCAATTCAATTTACTAAAAAGTAAAAACTTAGATAACTCTTGTAATTTATTAAGGATGCAAAACAAGACAACTGATTCCTGAAAGTAGAGAAATAATTGTTATGTGAAAGGAGGAAGCTTACATCTTTTCTCCATTGAAAAACTCAGAAATGGAAGATTTTTAAATTATTATATTTTTATTAGAAAGGAAGATTTTCACAATTGACTGCATGCCTGTATTGCAAAGCCTTCTTACAGTACAGAGAAAAGAGAACAATTTTTACCAACTAGGGTGGCCCAAGTGATTAAAAGTATTGAATCTAGAGTTCTAAATCTTACTACTCGACACATGGCCCTGGACAAGCTAGTTAACGGCTTTAAACCTTGGATTTCTCATCTGTAAAATGAAGATAATGATGATAATTATAGAACTATACAAATTAAATATTTAATTGCACAAAGTGCTACACAGCACATATTACAAAGTGTCAGTTATATGTCAGTGATCATTACCAGTATTTTTAATTATTGATAAATCGATTTGAGTCAAGAATTTAGAAAATTTTTATTTGTCTTTATTTTCCTGATTTGACAAGAAATCCCACCTCTAGTTAAACAGGAGGCTGCTTGGCCTTTATTTATAAAGGGCATATGTGGGCCTCAGATGATGAACCATTCCTTCAATATTGCTATAAAGAAGACAATGACAAAGACTACAAAATGGCCAAGGTCACGTGACCTTGTATCCCTGGGATACAGCATTTTTCTCCAAGAAAAACAGACAAAAGCGAGGCTTCTGATTTGCTGTTTATGCTCTGAAAAACTGCTCAAAAAATCTCCTTGCCTTTGAAAGGTCTCTGAGATCTAATAAAAAATGCATTCATCAAACTTTTAAAATGTTCTCTGATGGCCTAATGGCAAGAAGCTGCGCTGAAATCCTGAAGGCACATGGTTCGAATCTCACCAGCTGCTCCATGGGAGAAGAACGGGCAGTCTCCTCCCGTGCAGCTTCTGAAAACCTGCTGGAGGGTTGGCTATGAGTCAGTTCCAACTTGACGGTACATGATGACAACAGTAACAACAACAACAATGAATCATGAAGAAAGCTGTGGTATCTTAATGAGTTTGCTGACAACCTACAAGCACGTGTTCAAATCCACCAGCTATTGCTTGGGAGAGAGATGAGCAATTTCTTCCTGGACAATTGATTGCCTCCAAAAACACACTGGAAAATCAGCTATGAGTGGGTCAGACTGGATGGTACACAACAACATTAATTGTCAAGTACTGAGTTAAACACAGGGAAAAGAAAATAGTCTATCTTGCTTTAAAGGAGCTCTCTAAAATTTAATGGAAAAAGGGGTATTTATTTAAATAGCACAGGTAAGGTTTTAATTTGTTGTTCAAAGAGTTGCTATGAGTTGTGGTAAACTCAAGGGCACCTACCAACAATATATGATTATTAAGCAAAATCATAAGATGTTGTTATGTGCCATTAAGTTGCCTGCAACTCATGACATAGGGTCAGAAGCCTTCACTGTCCTAAGCCAGTCTCAGTGACTCTGACTAAGCTATATGCATGTATATTTGTAATTAAATATTATTATTTGCTTATAAAATGGTTAAAAGAAAAATAAGCGGTATAAGAATGTATGAACTGAATGTCACAGAAACACTGGTATGCCGCTCCTGGAAGCAGTCTTAAGCATGAACATGTAGTTCAAATCTTCCAACTGGTCAATGGGTGGAGAATGGGCAGTCTCCTCCGGTTCAATTGACTGCTTCTGAAAATCCACTGGAGGGTCAGCTGTGGGTTGGTCCTGACTTAATGGAACACACCAACAAACAACAACAACATGTACAAGATGTGGAGTTTATGCTTTATATCCCAGAGGAAAACCTCATGTGACTAGAAAACTTTCTAATATTCAGAAGAAAAATAATAATACAAAAAAAATTTAAAAGCTAACATTGCTTCCTGAAACTGAGGAGGTCCTGAAGTATTTGTTATAGAGGGTCAAGGACTGTAGTATGCAATATGGATTGAAGCTCAACATCAAGAAAACAAAGATTCTCACCACTGGGCCAACTGGCAGCACCATGATAGATGGTGAAGAGATTGAGATTGTTAACAATTTCATTTTGCTTCATTCCACAATCAACACTCTTGGCAACAGCAGTCAGGAAATCAAAAGAATAATTACCTTGGGAAAATCTGCTGTCAGAGACCTCTCCAGAGTATTGGAGAACAATTATATCAGTCTAGAAACTAAGGTGCACCTGCTTGGTCTTCATAATTGCTTGCTATGCATCGGAGAGCTCGACAATGACTAAGGATGATGGAAGAATTGATGCCTATGAGTTGTGGTGCTGAAGGAGTCTTGAACATACTAGGAACTGCTAAGAGAATAAACAGGTCTGTCCTGGAGAAAGTGAAACTGGGCTCCTCCTTGGAGGTTAAGGATTCTGAAGCTCCATCTCACGTACTCTGGGCATGCTGTCAGTCCATGTCTCTAGTCCTTGGAGAAGGACATCATGCTTGGAAGGGTGGAGGGAAAGCACAAGAGAGAAAGACCCTGGAAGAGATGGATTAACTCAGTAGCTAGGGTAATAAGAGTTGATATACTGGAGACAACGAAATGGGCTCAAGAAAGAGCGGGGTTCAGAGCTGTTATGGCATGAGTCACAAATGACTGGACAGCACATAACAAGAAGAAGGAAGGACAGTCTGGAATTCTGCCAACGATTCAGATCAGGACAGCTCCCAGTCAGCTTGTTTAAAGAAAGTGAGTGAGTGGCTATTTCTGGGCATGCGCTCAGTTTATTCACTGGGAAGGGGGTTTCTGACTTCTTTCAGAAGGTATGATTATTGTGAGTATGTGATTTGGTAATTCCAGTATAACCGTGCCAGTGTGTGTGTATCTTTTTTGTTGTTACTGTCATGTGCTGTCTAGTCATTTAGGACTCATTAGTGACTCTATGAATGATAGCTCTGAACCATGTTGTATCAGGAGCCAATCTCACTGTCTCTGACACACCTAGCCACCACATTACCCTAGTTACTGTGTCAATCCGTCTCATCTGTGCTGTCCCTCCACCCTTCCAGGCATAGTAGCTTTATCCTAGGAATGGTCCTGACAACATGCCCCAAGTATGTGAGCTGGATCCTCAAAACCCTTGCTTCTAAGGAGTGGCTTGGTTTCACCCCCTCCAAGACATTATCTGCTACTTCTCCTGGCAGTCCATGGTATGTATGTTCAATACTCCTCTCCACAACCATAACTAAAAAGCATCAACCTTCCTTACCTTTGCATAGCAAGTAACTGCAAAGGCCACGGTTAGATCAGGCACACCTTAGGATCCAGACTAACACTGCTGTTCTTCAGCACTCTGGAGAGGCCCCTAATAGCAGATTTTCCTAACACAAGTTGTTTTTTGATTTCTTGACTGCTGGTAGCAAAAGTGTTGACCATGGAACTTAGCAAGCTGAATTGTTAACAATCTTAATCTCTTCTCCATCTATCATGGTGCTGCCATTTGGCCCAGTGGTGAGAATCTTTGTTTTCTTGATATTGAGCTTCAATTCATATTGAAGACTATAGTCCTTGACCCTCTGCAACAAATGCTTCAGGCCCTCCTCAGTTTCTGCAAGCAAGGTTGTGTCATCTGCCTAAGGCAGGCTAATGATAAGTCTTCCCCCAATCCTACTGTCACTTTCCTCCTCATAAAGTTTAGCCTCTTGAATGATCTGTTCCGCATAGAGACTGAAAAGGTATGGAGAGAGGATGCACCCCTGATGCACTCTTTCCTGGTTTTGAACCATGCAGTGTATCCTTGCTCTGTTCTGAAAATTGCCTCCTGATCAAAGCATAGGTTTTCATGAGCATAATCTGGGATTCCCATTCTCCTAAAGGTTCGCTGCAGTTTCTTGTGATCCACACAGTCAACTGCCTTCCTATAGTCAATGAAACACTGATAAGATATTCCTCTGGTACTCTGCTTTTGGCCGAGATCAATATGACATTGGTGATAATTTACCTACTCTATATATACATAAATGTATGAAAACGAAATAATTTCTCTCTATATATGCATGAAAACTATACATAGGATATTTATAAAATATCTCATGAAATTTTCTTGTCAATTCTTTTTTTTTCAATTACTCTAGTTAGCTTCACTATATTCAGAGATTAAACAAAACCAACCTTCTCTTTAGCACTGAAGCACTGGTAGCACAGCGGCTAAGCTCTTGGCTGGTAACCAAAGGGTGGGTAGTTTGAGCTCATCAGTGGCTCCAGTGGAGAAAGATGTCAAAGTCATCTTCCATAAAGAGTTAAAGTCTTAGAAGAGCTATGGTTGCAGTTCTACTCTTTCAAAAGGGCCAATTCAACTTAGAATCAACCCAAAGGAACAGCATTAAGTATTATAAAAATAAACAAACAAACAAACAAAAACACCAGTAAGAAGAAAAATATACTATATAAGAGAATCTGACTGCAATTGACTATGAAATCTATGATAATGCAGGTGATCTCAACCCTGTAGGACAATTAGAAAATGGTAAGTGTTTAAAATAAATTTTCACCCCTAAAGGACCTCCAAGGTATTAAAAATATTTTCTTCTGCCAGAATTCCATTAAACAATAAAGGCCATGTTTTTAAAGGGCAGAAGTGTTCCTTTTAGAAGAGGTGACTCTGCAATTAGCTTTGGATACTAAAATGGCATGTGCAATTCTCCAGACCTCCTGTTTGGAGGGACTGAGCGGTCAGCTGCAGGCACGGTGAACTAATTACATAGCTGTGCCCTACCCACCGCAGACATTTGGTTAACCACAGGGCATCTCTGGATACTCCCAGGGCACTTCTGCCCTGACATTGTTCAGAAGAGGAGAATTAGAACAAATTAGACTCTTGACTATTTTGTTTTCTTTTTCTAAGTTCATATTTTCAGGCAAAGAGAGAAACACACAAATATATTGTTAAAGGGCACCAGAAGTCCTAGAAATAGAAACAGCCAGGAGTACTACTGAATAAATAATTTAAGAGCAACTTCAGGAGCTATCTTCTCCCTGAATGAAGAAAAAAACCCGAACAGTATGGGGATGTACTTCGGAGGCCTGCATGGATGAGACCCCAAAGAGATTCTGAGTCAGGTGGAGCCCAGTGGTCTTGGACAAACTCAGGCCTTTCAGAACTGCTGTAAGATTAATGGAGACACAAAGACCATGTGGTCACAGTAGGAACTTAATTATCTGTAGGAAACTACCTCATGCCACTGACCTGGATTCCTCGGGGAGGGCAGTTTGCTGGGCACTTCCCTTACCACGATCCCTCCAGATGGCACCCTGCAACTAACTGTCTCTCTTGCCTGTGCAAAGGTGCCAGTGGGAAGAAGTCAGGATTCTTCAAGAGAGCTTTTCAATGTGTCATTATTTGTCTTTGCAATTAGGGTTTATGCAGGGGGGGGGGAATTCGCATTCTCTAAACCTACTCAATTGGTCCTTTAAGAGTTTTCTCTCTCTAGTACTTAGCCAGAGTTTTGGGCACTTTTCTCACAAGAACACTTTCCAAAACACAAACAGTCCTTGTGCAGTCTTGATTCCTGAGACCCCCAGAGTTTTTTTAATTCTGAATACAAACTGACAGAATTTTCAATAATGAGGCAGTTGAAAGGTTTTCTAAACCCTGACTAGTGCTTGTTCAGAATATAAATATCAGATTTATGCTATTTAAGTGTTTTGACTGACAACAGAGAAACACCTTTAACCAAGCATGACTCTGAAAGCTAACGTGAAAAAAGCTAAGAGAATTGTAGTGGCCAAACCCAATACAACAATGTAAACTTGCAATTTAATTTTTTAAAGCCTTGGGAGTAATCATGATGTAAGAGGTGGCCAGTACCTGCCAAAGCTACTGGTCACAAATCACAAAATGACTATGATAAAGCTTCTGCCTGTCTCGCCTAGGCTCGTGACCCCCAGAATCTGAGAGCCATCTCCATGGTGAATGGGAGATGTTCTAAGATCGGGACACAATGGACAGGGTTAAACAATGTCACAGAATGTAGAAACCCTGACATGCGTGTCTGAAAAATATACCTGACATTGTGCGCATACTGTGTGTAAACGCCTTTTCAATATTTAAGATGGGGAATAGAGAGTTTATTGAGCGGTAATATTGATTAATGAATTTCATTTCGTTTACGAGAGCAGACCTGGGGAAAAAATTTGGTTTCTTGGGAAACATGAATTAAAGAAGGAATGATCACTCCAAGTCTGAGCAATACTGTTCTAGGAAGGTGGGAATTCAGCCACAGGCCACTACACATGCTGAGCAGGTGCTCGCTGCAGTGTTAAGGGTTAAAGGAGAATACTTTCCATCTTTCAAGCCTCATAAGGAAACGGATCATTAAAATGAAAACCATAGTCACAAAAGCCCTCTTTCCTACAGCACGCTTATTTTGGCCATCTCCTGCTCGGCTGCCACTCTAATTGGACTTGAAGTGCTGCCTCCAGGAAAGTGACTCAAGAACCAGCTGGAGCAGAATGCAAATAAACTGGTGGGGGAGGAAGCCCAGGGGAGAGGAGAGGAGAGGAAAAACAAAATTAAGGAGGAAAAAGGGGAAAGGGGAACAGAGATGCAGCTGAGAACAGGCAGTACCTGGTTATGGGACGAGATCCAGTCCTGACTGTGTCTTTAAGTGGAATTTATAGGGAAGTCACAACAGGCTCTTATCTTTCTTATGTGGCTTTTATTTTAGTGCAAGAAAAGGCTTTTGAATGACTTAAAAGCTGCATATGCAGGAAGTGAAGGCAACTGTGATGGAGACTTTGTTGTAAGTAGGGATTGATTTAAAAATGAGAGCAAATGTATGTAATAAAGGGCAAGCAGGAGTTACAAGTCAGTCACACGTCATCACTTGGGGACTGACTGTATGGCTGACTACGCTTTCAAGAGCAGGTCTTGGTAACCATCACTGTGTTTTCATTTCACCAAGTGGTTTGTAATTCCAATAGGGACAACCTCTGTCTTCAAGGTGATTCTGAGTCATAAGGACCCTACTTGCCAGAGTTTCTGAGGCTGTAAGTCTTCACAGGAGTAGACTGTATATCTGTATCACGCAGAGGAACTGGTGAGTCTCAATAGCCCACCTTTTGGCTAGCATCTCTATGCTTAACCCACTGTGCCACCAGGGCTCCTGAAGGAAAAATAAGGTACTCCGGAAGTTGAGGTTTACCTTAAACAGCAAAGCAAAATCTATAGATATATAAGAAGGAAATGGATAAAAACAGAAAAGATAAGTCATACCACTGCTAACTTTCTCACACTGCCATCCAGGAATTCAGAGGTGACCCTACAATGGGTTTGCAGAGGCAGAAAATCCACAGGGAAGGAGTTTATAGTTCTCCCACAGAGAAGCTTGTGGACTTGAACCACCTATCTTCAGCGTTAGTAGCGCAGCCTCTGAGCCAGGAGACCAGCACAGCTCACATGTAGTATCTATTTTCAAATTGAGGTTAATAAAGACTTATTTCCTCAAAGCAGGCTCTTTTCTAGGGTCTTCTGGCCTCAGGCACTTTTGAAAAGAACGAATTGCTCACCCAAGTGATATGCAAAGAGCCTGCTCTAAAAACATTACAATTGTGTTACCTTTCTCTTTTGGCAAATCATGTCCCTCATGGAGTGTCTGACAACTATCATTCTGGTGCAGGCAGTCTATTTCCTCTCCTGGGCGTAGAAATAATGAACCAGACATGCTCCCAGAAACACTCAGGCATAAATATTGACACTAACATTAGTTCTTTATAAGCAGAGTAGATCTGGCAAACCATATGAAACCATTTGAATAACTATTTAGATTAGTAAAACTAACAACTCTTGAAGCCTAAAAAAAACACACACACCAACAATTCACTCTTGGCATCTTAAGTAAATTAGAAACATCTCAGCTTCTGAACTTTCAATGAAGGTGTATGTTTGGTGTCTCTCCTTTGCCTCTGATATTATGGAAAGCTCTATTAGAATCTACCTAAAAGACAAAGAAAAACAAAACAAACTTTCCAAAGGAGTTAGTTTTGCTTCTGAGATATATATACATGTCTTGTATGTCATGTATGTCATATATACATTAATGCCATCTCTCATCACTCACATCAGATAGCTTGGAATGATTCCAAGACTAGACACAGCAAGAAATGTACTCTGTGTAACAGAGGGAGATGAAATAATTATTATATAGATATTATTTATATATATAAATACTTTTATATAAATGTAGACTTATATTTATATAATTATACACACACATATATAAAATACACATTTGGTCCACTACAAATTAAAATTAATTACAATGATGTCTTAGGACCACAAGATTACAGCTGTGTTGGCACCTTCTCTCTTTTCCTAACCAGAGGAGGGTCACTTCCCCTTTTGTGAAAGGTTATTACATCGCCTATGTAATTTTTCATCACAGGCAATTGAGCTTCTCAGTACTGATTCTGTGGGATAGTAAAGTACCTCATTTATGCAAAAGTAAAAATTGCTACTTTACTATGCTGTTTTCAAAGAATGAGCACCTTCACCTTAATCTTGATGAATTCTATTTTATTGAAAACAAAACACATCTGGTATAAAAGCATCAACAAACTCTTTTACACTAATGAGGTATAAAGAGGCTTCTTTTTCATCATTTTGTAATTGTCAAACACTGAAGCATACATATTTACTCTTCATTTAAGAAATACTATTGTGGCTCTAACACTAGCTTTTCCTTTGTAGTGATGCCTTAGGGAGCTCTTGTGAGTCTGTTGAGAGTTCCAGTGCTAACTGAAAGGTCTGGCCTCTCTCCAGCAGCAGCTCCTCAGAGGAAATATGGACAACCATGTGCCCTCGTATCCACAGTCATAGAAACCTCTTGGAGGACCAGGTATGAGTCAGTCTAATGCAATGGCAATGAGTAAATGCCCGAGGGTGAGTTATATACCAATTTACCTGTGCAAAATCAGCTGCAAGTCGCATTTTTCCATTGTGACCAAGAGGTCTTATGAGACTGGCATTGCGGACAAAAAGTTCAATTGCTCTGTGGGCAATAGCTTCCGTATTGTCAAAGACAAAATCTGAGCATTCGAAGTTTTTAAAATAGTCATTCATAACTCTGGCAATGAAACCTTGCAACTCCTTCATGTACAAAGAACAAGTTACATCAAGTGTGTCAATGTTGGATGACCTGCAAGAAGAAACAAAATGAACAAGAAATCAGCAATTTTCAACATTAATGAGATAAATGCCACTATCAAATTTTTTTTCACCCTCTTCTGCTTACATCAATTGTGTACAAATTTTATTTCCTTAATGATATGGAAAGCATCATTTTATTTTTGCTAAGAGTTAAAGACTCATAGCGTACATAGGGTCCCTATGAGTCGCAAGCTACTTGATGGCACATAACAACAACAACAACAAGAGTTAAAGAACATTAAAAATAATATTCCATTTCATTCTAAAGACTGTTTTTACATGCAGAAAGGATCACTGAAGAAATTTTAGAATCCATTTGTCTAAAGATTAAGACTGAAAAAGACAACCATCTGTTTTGGATGATCCAACTGCCATATGTCCTCTACGACCTCTCAAGGTCTCTCTTGGACTTAGAACTCTTAATCTACTATGTTTTACCCGGTAAGGGAGAACATCAATATGAGATCCTGAGCTAGCATTTTACACTTTGTAATGGCAGAAAATACTGCCTGTCTCAAACAAAATTATTGGCAAAGAGAATTCAGCTCTTGTGCTATTTAATCGCATTGGTCCAATAGCAGAATTCTGAATGTGGATGTGGTTATATAACAATGCACATGGTATGCAATTTTTTCCTCCAGATGATGAGGTTTGGAAAGGCTTTAATTTGGATCAACAGATTATGCCAGCTGATGCTCCATGAAATACTATTTATAATTTATAAGTGTTTATAATTGTTCTCTAAAGAATATATTGGAAGAATGTGAAATATTTATAGGGAAAAAGTTATACCAAAATTAGAAATCACCTCATAGTAATTAGCTAATCAGATGAGATCGTCAGCTATGTAATGCTAGCTCTTTTTAAAAAATTAAGTGCTTCCATATATTGAGAAGGACAGAGAAATTGGTGATGGTCTAGAGAAGAGCAAAAGATAGGACAATGCTCAGAGCAAGAGAATGAGTGGGATCTACTTACTGTCTGGTAAGGAAGATGCTGTGGACTGGACTGCACCCTAATGAAGAAGGTGCTGTAACTGTTAACCTCTGTGCGGGGCTTGGAAGTACAGCCAGAATGCTCCTTAGAAGCAAGGATGGTGAGCCTTTGTCTCACGTACTTTGGACATGTGATTAGAAGGGGCCAGTGGTCAGTGGAAAAGGACATCTTGCTTGAAAAAACAGAGTGTCGGTGAAAGAAAGGAAGACCCTTTGTTAGGCAGACTGAAACAGTGATTGCAACAATGGGCGTACGCAAAGGCAGCATTGTGCATTTGGTGCAGGACCAGGCAGGGCTTCAGTCTGTTGTACGCAGGGTCTCTATGCTGTTAGGTTGTTGTTCTTAGGTGAGGTCAAGGTGAGTACAACTCATAGTGATCCAATGAACATCAGAGTTGAAATGGGTTCTGTCCTGTGCCATCCCATCATCTCTGCCATACTAGAGCCCACTGTTGCAGTCAGAAGGTACCTAACAGCCACAGCAACATGTCCTTGGTTATAATCCCATCAGGGAATGGGTTGTCTTTTATGTTCATAAGACAGGATTAGTGTAGGATGTGTCCTGGGTCTGTCTCATTTGGGATATAAAAGACATCTAACAAGCAAAGAATAGAAGCAGAGATGGGAGACTGGTCATGTTGCTAGGTCCTGTAGTCACTCTGACACCTTGCCCTAGTGTGTACCACTTTCACAACCTCTATCATGCTCAAGTCTACTGTGACAATTAGCGTATCAATCCACCTCACTGAAAGTCTTCCTCCCTTTAAAGAATGCCCTATTTTTCCATGTATCATTGTCGTTTTTCAGGAGAGCTCTTGTGGCCTAGTGGCCAGAAGCTGTGCTGTAATCCCAAAGGCACACGGTTGGAGGCTGCCAGCTGCTCTGTGGGAGAAGGATGGGCAATCTCCTTCTGTGTGATTAACTGCCTCTGAAAACCTGCCAGGGGTCAGCTCCGACTCTATGGCACTCAATTACGACGACAACAAAAATGTCCATTTTCAAGGATGGGTGCCTTGTGACAACTTGGTCGAAGCAGATGAGACAGAGTTTCTTCATTTTTACATGTAAAGAACATCTTGGCTGCATTTCCTCCAAGCCAGATTTGTTAGTTCTTTTGGCAGCCCATTGGATATTCAATACTCTTCTCTACACAATTCAAAGACATCGTTCTTCTTTAGTCTTCCTTATTTACCATCCAACTTTCACAGTTACGTGTAAAACAACTTACGGTACCATGGGAGAGGTGAGAAGAGAGCCAAACCACATCAAGATTGTCTAGAAGTGTAAGCTCTGAAGAGACAAGGTCCGTCCTCCAGAGTGAACAGAGAAAACCTTGCCCTAGAGTCAGAACTCTGAACTGGGGCTTCTACCCTCCAATCTGGGAGAGAACCCATTTTTTGCATAGTAAAATCCGTCTGATGACTAAGACACTAACCAGAGGTCTTCCACCACCAGAAACAGACGAGGCAGGCTTACATTCCAAAGAAACAGATTTTCGTTCAGGTCTTAGAAACATGTCCTAACAATGGCAGAGCCTCTGACGGGTACACAACAGAACATTTCCATTTCCCCTTCATAGAATGCTTGCAGTCTGCAAGTGGGGTTGCTGTTCCCAGATACTGACCACAGGATGGCCTAGCTTTACTGGGTCTAAAAACTTGGGGTTAGAAAAAAGAAAAAAGCAAAACCAAGCAAATCAAAGTGCCTACTTCTTTCACGCTTATGCTTTATAAAAAGCACAACTGGGCTATGCACACCCATGTTTATCACAGCTTTGTTCACAATAGCAAAGAGTTAGAAACAACCTAAGTGCCCATCAACAAACGAATGGATAGAGAAATTCTGGTATATTCAACAATGGAATACTATGCTACATTTAAAAATAAAAAAGAATAAAAAAGGAATTAATGAAATATTATACAAAATGGATGACCCTGGAGGACATTATGCTAAGTGAAATATCTCAGTCACAAAAGGACAAATACCGCATAGTGCCACTGTTGTAAAACGGGACTGACCTCGGGGTTGGGGGAAGACTGAGAAAGATGGCATAAATTATGTATACTGCACTGAAACAGATAAGGGAGAGAACTATTTAAAAGGGATATATGATTGGGTATTATTGTCATGACAGGTGTCCAGAACAAAGGCTGCACAGTGGAGTGAACTTGGGGGGAGGGACTATATAACAATGAAAGAGTTTTTCTTTTACTTTTCAAAGAGAAGAGAAACAGGGGAGAGGTTGGGCAGGGAGAAAAGTGTAACAAACAATGAATGGAAATCCAAAGTCTCTGTAAACTTTCATTAAAATGAATAAAAAAAAATAAAAAGCACAATTTTTATCTTGGCATGATTCCTAATCATCTCATGGACCTGAATCTAGTCAGTTGAAACAATGTTCTTGAAGGCTAGAAAATAACATATTAAAACAACTTCCATAAACACGTGGCAACTTATGTAAACAGGTGTTTGGGGTTTCTTTTACATTTGTCTATTATACAAAACATTGAAATATGGAGTATCAATGCTCAGCGAGAAGTATAATTCTTTTTAAATTTACTAGGATACAAAACTACCCTAGCAATTGCTCAAGTTAGTTTTATCAACGATGTGAAAAGACAAACTGCCACCATGATGGTGCAGAAACCTCAGGGTCGTCATGACAGCCTGCAGCCAGAAGCAGAGGGGGAAGCACTAAGGTAGCACATACCTACAAAGCAGTAGATGCCACTTGTCATGTCACTGATCTACGTATGTGTCTCTTCTTCAGTCCTGAGTCTGCCACCCTTCCCTTCAAAGACTGTAGGGCCTCCTACTCTAAAATCCCTCCCCACCTCCATTTAAAACTATAATTTGACACAAATTTATATTAAACATGAGTTTCAAACCATGTGCTATGTCAATCAGATATTTACACTTTAAGCTTTCCCTAATTTGGAATGAAACACACTGTTCCTGATATGCATATTTCAAATGCCAGGAAACTGTGGTAAGGATTACATTTTAGATCAGGATGTTATAGTCCTATTAAGTACCATTGAGAAGAATGGGAATCCCAGAGTTCTTAACTATGCTCATGTAAAACCTATACCTAAATCAAGAGGCTGTTGTGCGAACAGAGCAAGGGAACACTACATGGTTTAAAATCAAGAAGGGAGTGCGTCAGGGTTTTATTCTCTCTTCATATCTCTTCAATCTGTTCATTCTGAACAAAGTGGCATCAAGGGGCAAGAATGGGCAGGTAAGGGGTGCTTAATCATTGGGTCACACAATTTGATGGGTGGAAGGAGTGCTGGGTAAAGGAAAGGGGAAAGATCTGGTTTGAAACAATGTATGTGGACTTTGTAAGTAAACCAGTATAAAAAAAAAAAAAAGACCAAAGGGAGAGACTCATCAATAAGCTGTTTCATGCAGATAACACAACCTTACTTGCTGAAAGTTAGGAGGCCTTGAAGCACTTGTTGCAGTAGACCAAAGAATACAGCCTTCAATATGGATTGCATCTCAATGTCAAGAAAACAAAAATTCTTACCACTGTATTGATAGGCAACATTTTGGAAGAAGGAGAAAAGACTGAAACTTTCCACAACTTCATCTTACAAAGATCCAAAATCAACATCCTTGGTACCAGCAGTCAGGAAATCAGGAGATGTATTGCATAGGGAAAGACTGCATTTAGGGCCTCCTCCAAATTACTGAGGAGTAACGATGTCAGTTTGAGGAGTAAGGTGTTTCTGATTCAGTCTTTCCTATCACTTGCTATGATCTGAGAGGTGAACAATGAATAAGGATAATAAAAGAAGAGTTGATGCCTCTGAGCTGTGGTGTTGGACACAGTACTGAACAGCACACGATGGCCAAAAGAACGAATATGTCAAACCTTCCTTATTCACTTACCGACTTTCAGACATACACGAAACAAATGAAAATACCATGGCTTGGGTCAAGCATACCTTAGTCTCTAAATTGCCATCCTTACTCTTTAGCACTTTAAAAAATTCCTTGGTAACATATTTTTGCTTACAACACATCTCTTGATTTCATCACTTATGTTGCTGATTGTACAATAAAATAAAATGTAATTCTCAAAAACGTCAATTTTTTTTTTCTCTCCAGCTATTATGATGTTTCCTATTGGTCCAGTTGTAAGGAATATTTTTTTCTTGATTGTGCAATGTAATCCATGTTGAAGGCTATATATAGCCTTTGATCTTTCTGAGTAAGTACTTCAAGTCTTCTTTAGTTTCTACAAGCAAGGTTGTAACATTTGCATAACTTAAGTTGTTAATGAATCATCTTCCTATTCTGATGCCACATTCTTCTTCATATAGTCCAATTTCTCAAATTACTTGTTCAGTATATATAAAGAATATGTATAAAGAAAGTTTATAACCTTGATGCACACTCCTCTTGATTTAAACAATGTAGTTTTAAAAGGTGTCTAAGGTTTTAGAGATTATAGGAACCAAAGACAAAGACCAAATTCTCTAGCTAAAGTTAATTGTTTACTCCACAAAAGAGGAATTAATTTTTTAAACAGTTTGGATCCAATTTCACCTTCTATTTCATTGTTACTTGAGAATGGACACAATTATAAATAGCAAGATTCTAAAAAAAATGAAAAAAAATTATTGACATAGGAGGAATGCTTTAAATATACTGTAAAGCACTGTTGTTCCACACTCATAGACTGCTATGTATGGAGAATGACTGTAAGTGCAATCTTAAATGGCTGTTATTTGCATACTGAACTGAAGTAGTCATAAAAGCAAGAAAGAAAAGAAAAACCCTAGACACAATGCAATGCACCTTAAAATTCTGATTTAAACACTTGGCAACATGTCAGTTACAAAAAACCCTCAATATGGCTCACCTGTAGTAAGGCAAGCTAGGGGAAGATACCTATCTAGAAAGGAATATCTATCTGTGTTTCATTAATTATGCAAAGGTATTTGTGTGAATCACAACAAACTGTGGCTGACTTTAAGAATGGGAATCCTATAACACTTGATTGTGCTTATGTGAAACCTATACTTGGATCTGAAGGTAGTTGTCAGAACAGAACAAGGAAACATTGCATAGTTCAAAATAAAGAAAGGTGTACACCAGGGATGCATCCTATCTCTGTATCTTTTCGATCTATATATGGAACAGGTCATCTGGGAATGATGGCATCAGGAATGTGTCATCAGGATTGGAGGAAGACTCATCAACAATCTGCATTATGCAGATGATGCAACCCTGCTTGCCAAAACGTTCTGAGGCATTTGCTGCAGAAGATGAAGGACAGCAGCCTTCAATATGGATTGAAGTTCAACATCCAGAAACATTCTCACCACTAGGCCAATTGGCAGTGCCATGGTAGATGGTGAAGAGAGTGAGACTGTTCACAGCTTCAGTTTGCTTGGCTCCACAATCAACATTCTTGGTACCAGCACAGCCAGGAAATCAAAAGACAAATTGCACTGGGAAAATCTGTTCTTAGAGACCTCTCCAGAGTACTAAAGAGCAATGATGTCAGTTTGGAGACTAAGGTGTGCCCGATACAGGCCATGGTCTTTGCAATTACTTGTTATACATCAGAAAGCTGGATAATTACTAGGGATGATAGAAAGAGAATTGATGACTTTACGCTGCGGTGCTGGAGAAGAGTACTGACTATAACATGGGCTGCTAGCTGAACAAACAGGTTCGTTCTGGAGAGGGTGAAACCAGGCTGCTTCTTGGAGGCAAGGGTTCTGAAGCTCCATCTGATATACTTTGGGCATGGTGCACAGAGAGACCAGTCCTTGGAGAGGAACAACATGCTTGGAAGGGTGGAGGGACACCCAAGAGAGGAAGACCCTGGATGAGGTGGATTGACTCAGTGACTAGGGTAATAGGGGTAGGTTTGTCAGAGACAGTAAAGTTGGCTCAGGATAGAGCAGGGTTCAAAGTTTTTTTACATATGGTCAATATGAATTGGAAGCAACTTGATGGCACATAACAACCAATCCCCACCATTTCATGACTAGTCTAAATATTTGACCAAAAAAAATACTGTTTTTTCAGAATATAGGTAATCATTACATTCCTGTCTCCGACTGAATTCTCTATATACTCATGCATTTTTTATAAAACTCACTTTACCTTTTTATGCTTCAAAGTTATTAAAAACTGAGATGAGGTAAATGAAATAAGTGAATTGAAAAACTAAAGGGCAGTGTAATAATATTTGATCAATTTTTCTACAAAAATCAAACTAGTGGCTATATAAAATAAATAATATCATTTATTTTAATAAATTACATATACTTTTAAACAACACAACCGAAAAGAAATAGGATAGTTCAAACTAGCAGTTAGAACTATTATTAATATCACTCTAAACATCTGCAAATTATATTACAAATATTCTCGACTTTCTTATGCACTGAAATAAAACCATTTTACTCTATTTTAAAAGGTTCATTACACATGGGGTTAGAATATGATTCCTATCTCAATATGCAGAGGTTATGAATAAGCAATACTCATAACAAAAAGCTACTGAAAAATTCCAGTGTCTCTGGTTAAGTGTTATATCACCAGATTAGTCTGCCATGGAAACTCCGAGAAATGGAAATAGTGTTGGAAGGAGTGGGACAGAAGTGTTCCCTCCAAGCCACAGCAGGACTCGGAGCGACACGGTGGCAGAGGCAGGCCTTCACATACTGGGAGTACGGAGTTGGAGGTGACTGGATGTCCCCTAACAATAGCAACAACAACAGAGGATTATTTGTGAGAAGCAAGGAAAATGACTAGAAAAGAAGAGGGTACAAGCTTCCAAAAGTCCTCAAGTGCCAAGCCACATCCTGAAGACCTTAATGGTGTTATGTTCTAATGAGAGGTGAGAAATGATGAAAACAAGAACTGAAAATTTTAATCTGCTAATGGCATTCACTGTGGATAAAGTAGGGAGAGGCTGGAGGCCAGCCACATCACAAGAAGAACAGGCTCTAAGTGACAGGCGGAGTAGGGAGTGAGGGTAGAGGCAGAACAAAAACAAAGGCAATAAAGGTTAGTGGAATTTTTGATTAAAATGTATTACCCAGAAAAGTCCTCCTGGTGCATAGTGATGATTATCGCCTCTACAGCGTCTCCCACTGAAGTCAGTAAGGGCTGCACAGCGTTTTCCATAAGATCATGGATGTCCTGAAAGGGAGAAAAAGCAAAGTTAAAGAAAACCAACGCCAAGAATTTTAGGCAGTGAGGAGCAATTTGACTAAAAGTTTTCATTTTATATCAAATTCAGATTTACATAATTTAATGCTAACAACAGACGTCCTCTCCTCTCCCTAACTGCTGTCAATAATAATTTTTAAGACTTACAATATGTGGAACACGGTATTAAGAATTTCAACTCCCCCATTCTTTTCATTTTTCCCTCAGGAAAAGGCAGGCAGATGCAAGAAGAGAGGAGGAGTGGCATTTAGGAACTAAAGATCAAAGGAACGCTTTCTTTTTCTTTTTTTTAGCTTTCTCAAAAGAGTGAGACAAGAACAGAAACATTCTTTTCATTTTAGAATAACAATGAATGCCTTTAACTAGAGTAGATATAATCAATATATTGCTGATCCTTACAGGACAGAGCAGACTGGCACTGCATGATTTAAGTTTCTACTTAAGAATTACACAGCAGCAATTCTCAAGTGATTTTGTCTCCTGGGGAGTGGGGGAGCAGATATTTGATAATATCTAGATGTTATCTAGATAAATGTGTGACATCCAGAGAGGGGGACTTGATACCATATTTAGTAGGTAAAGGTCAGAGATGCTGCTAGCCATCTAACAATGCACAGGAGATGCTGCACTGCAATCCTAAAGGCACAAGGTTCAATTCCTTCAGCTTCCCTGCAGGAGAAAGATGAGCAATCACCTCACGATTGATTAACTGCCTCTGAAAACGTGACACAGGGTCAGCTATGGGTCAGCTCTGGCTCAATGGTACACAACAACTACAACAACACCAGTCAACAGGGAGCTCTGGTGGCCTAGTGGAAAGGAGCTGTACCGCCAACCCAATGGTATGTGAATCAAATCCACCAGCTCCATGAGAGAAAGATGAATAATCTCTTCCTACACAATTTACAGCCTTTGAAAATCCACTGGAGGCGTTAGTGCTGACTCAACAACACATAACAACAACAGCAAGAGTCAATAGGGGTGAGGTTGAAAAATCCTATTCTATAGTGAGACATAACCACTAGTTAGTGTATAAAAGAACCTAGACCTTAGTTAGAGTGGCTTAATGTGAAAATATTGATTGGGCATTAGTAAACACTCAAGACAGACTAATACACAGACACACACTCTCTCTCTCTCTCCAAAAAGGCTGATCTATAATGAAGACAGATGCCTTTTTTCTTTATTTATTAAATTAATAAACATCTTTGTAACTATTAAGAGACAAGACCAAATTAATCAGATGCAGGAACTGATTATGCATACACATACAGTTTGACCTCAAGGACTTTACAGTCCCATGGAAGTAGCTAAATTATAATGTTACAGGATGTGTCCTCTAACAACAGTGCTGTGGGTTCTTGGAAGGAACCTCTAACTCACCCTGAGAGAATCTAAAAAACAACAGATGTTGCTTGAAGTGAATTTCAAAGGACAAGTTGGTAAGAGCCAGGTAAAGAACCAAGGAGCTGGGAGCACATATGTTAAAAGGCACAGGAGTTAGGAAAGGTTATGCATCTGGGAAACTTCAAAGCATTCAATACAGATGGAGTATAAGGTGCCTGGAAGAGAGAAAAACAGCAAGAAATGAACTTCAAGTAAGCTGCTAGTGGGTTAGGAAATTATCTTGAAAGTACTGGGGAATCAAAGATGAGTTGCAAGCAGTGGAAGAAAAAAGGAAGATGTAAATTTAGAAAAAAGATGTTGCATAGCCAACTAGTTAAAAGAGACCAAACAGAATGGGATCAATTAAGAGGCCAAAGCAGAGATAAAGATGCAGAAGGATGAGGATCTCAATGAAGGCAGAGGCAAAGGGAACAGCGATGAGACCAATGGAAAGCACTGTGGAAGCACGGCAGGGTGCAGTCTTCAGCCGTGGGTCGGGCAAAGCAGAAACACTTAGAGAACACATTGGTTCTTTTCTTCAATGATTTGGTAATATCATCAACTGATAGCATAAACCAGAAAGGAAGACTAACCCAACCAACCCCAAAAGTTGAGCTGGGGTGAAGAGACGAGGGCGAGAAAGTGACATGAGTTTGAAGTGCCTATGAGAAATAAAGAGAGTTATCAAGTAGGCATTGAGATAATGAAATCTGTACTTCCTGAGAGAGACATTTTTACTAAATTTGGTTTTCAGGATGGGAGATGAAGTCAAAAGCAAAGATAAAATGCCAGTGCATGATGAAATGGGTAAAAATGTCAAATAGCACTTCGTGATTAGTGAGAGGAAGAAGAGTCCTGGAAGGATTTTCGAGGGTTACTTAATAATGACTCCTGACTGTGTGCTAGGTGCTTTACACAGATTAAGATAATTGAGACTGCAACCAACCCCTCTGCAAAGCATCAATGCAAACTACACTTTATGGATTTGTCACCAACAGGAATTTATAGATGAGGGAACTAAAGTGAAGGAGGCTGTCATAAGTTAAGTGGAGAAGAGGGTCATAACCAAACAAGAAGGGCTGGTGGTTCCGAGCTGTCTGACAGGCTTATGCTTACATTATTCTACTGGGCAGATATGTAGGAAAAGACTGACGATGAAGTAGGAAGAGACCCATCAAAGAGGTAGGGAGAAGGACACAGACGATTTGAAGAAAGGACGATAGACTTTCCACTTTCAGTATGAACAAGCCATTCTGAGGGAAAAAGATTAAAACCAAAATAAAATAAAAACAAAATAACCTCAACAAAAATCTACTGGTGGAATTCTGGAGAGAAAGACAGAGGGAGCAAATGAGAGAGTGACAACAGCACGTGGTTTTAGAGCATTGTAGAAACCTGGAGCCGCAAACAGAAGTAGATAAATTTGAAATTTTATTTTTTGCTTTATCCTACTGGTGTGTCCAGTTTTACAAGTGTCTAAAACTCCCAGAGAAAACCAAAGTTTTGATCTTTCTAATCAGAGAAATGGGAGTACGACCTGGTATAAGCAGGTGGCTACAAACCAAGGTACTCTGAGAAAGAAGAGAACAAGAAAACACCCCAATCCACTGTTTCCAGCTGTCTCGTTTATCACTCACGTGCACAGCAAACTAAAAAGTAGCTGGCAATTAATTAATTAAGAACTGAGCTAATATTTGAGGTCTGATCCACTACAGCTATGACCTCTTAGCTGCCTTTAAAACAAAACCATCTTTGAAGCAACAGAAAAAGTACCAATCCTACACAACAAACAATTCACAATGTCCAGCACCCAAATGAAAACAAAAAAACATACAGAGAGCTAGGAAATGCTACCATTCAAGAAATAGATACCAACTCCAAGATAAACCCTCTCAATAACAGTGTCAAATAACAGACCAGACACTGAAATTAACAAGAAGAGATTTTCAGAGTGACTAAAGAGGCAAGAAGCAATTTTATGCTTGATATTAAAACTCGGTAAACAAAATATAAGGAAAAGCTACAGAATAATATATGCCAATATCTCTTATGAATAGAGATGTAAATACCCTCAATAAAATCAAGGAAAATAAAATATAATAATATACAAAAAGAAATAAATAATTGCCAAAGGTGGTTTGATATTTGAAAAGAAATGATTTACTGCACTTTTTTTTATTATTAAATTTTATTAGTTTTCATGGACATTTACAGAGATTTTGGGTTTTCATTTATTCATTGTTGCACTGTTTTCTCCACCCTCCTCCCCAGTTCGTTCTTCTCCCCCCCCCCCCACGATTTACTGCACTTTAACAGAAGGGAGCTCTGGTGGGAGTCCAGGTGCTGACTCAAAGGCAGTACCTCTCTGATGGTTCGACTTCAGCAGCACTTCTACGAGAGAATGCCAGGCAATCTTCCTGCAGGTGATTCACAGCCTCAAAAATCCAGTGGAAGGTCAGCTATGAGTTAGTTTGATTTGGTGGCAATGAGTGAGTGAGTGGTTAACAGAATAAAAGGAAAATAATATGATTATTTCAAAAGATAGAGAAGAGGGAGCTCTGGTGGTCTAGTGGCAAGGAGCTGCACTGTAATCCTGAAGCTGTATGGTTCAAATCTACCAGATGGCTCAGGTGGGGAAGGAGGGGCAATCTCCTCCTATATCAGTTGGACCCAGTTCAATGGTACACAAAAAGAAAAAGAAAAAAAAAAAACCCAAACCAAATAAACAAAAGATAAAGAAGAAGTTATCTGATGAAATTTGAAACCAGTTATGATAAAAGATCCCAGAAAACTAGAGTAAGGAACTTGTTCAACCTGATAAAGTACATATATTTAAACACACACACACTCTCACACCCCTATAGCTAATGATCTAATTAAAATACTAAAATACTGAAAACTGTATACGAGATCAAGAACAAGTGAAGAAGATTCGTTCACCACTTATAATCAACATTGCACTGGAGTGTCCTTGTCAGTGAAACAATGCATGGAGAGAAAAAGATGAGAAAGGAATAAAGAAAATGGTCTTTATTTCTGTATGATACGGTTTACACAGAAAACTTAATAGCTATGTGAAAATCCAGCTTTGGGGCAACATGAAAAGAAGAGAAGAGAGCATCTTCAGGAATGCCTTTACTGACTGTGCGGGTTAAGGATGAGCAACCATCAAAGGAAACGGAAACGCCAGTTTCCTTTATAGGAGAAATCATGACGTTTATAACTCTTTTCATATCGCAAAGAGATGTGGATCTAGTTCAAATGCTATTTATATGTTAAACAAAAGAAAACAAAACAAGCATATGAAAATAAAAGAAAAATCTTTTGGTTTGTCACATCTGATTCATTTTAGGATACTTTTCATTATTATAACTATATTTTGCTTCTCTCATTAAAAACAATTGTTATGGAAGTTTTAATAATATTTAACTTCAATCATAATGAGATGAGCACAGATGAGGAAAGAAAAGGACACAAGCAGCTATCCAAATGGACTTTATGAAGCTATGGGAAAGAAGCTCTTTGCTTTTCTTACTCTCAAGGACTCAAACCTATTCAGACAGAAATTTAGCATCCTTCCACTTTCCAGGCCAGTTAAGTCTCCATCCACATATCGTATGGCCGGTCATAGAGTTCAAAATCTTTCTTTTACTTTAGAATTTATCACAGTATCCTTTCTTAATTCATTTTCTCTAACTTATTCCCTGATAGAGGCTTTACTCTCTAAAGTGTTTCTGCTTGAAGTTTGTGAAAATCCTCCTCTTCCAGGATAATTTCTTAGTGATATAAATTCAAATTAATAATTGTCATCTTACTTTTAGACACATATATTGTCCCATTTTATAGGTGAAGAAATTAAGGCAAGAGAAAGATTATTAACATTTCTGAGGCCATTCAACTAATAGTTTGGGTGAAATTAATTTCTAGGTACCTGGCTCCAGAGTTTGTGCTCACAATTAGTGTACTTACTACCTCAAGTAAGAAGTGATGAATACATATTTAATTGTTGTTGTTGCTGTTATGTGCCGTCGAGTCGTTTGCAACTCATAGCGACCCTATGTACAACAGCCCTAAACCCTGCTCTATCTATCCTGTGCCAATCTCATTGCCTCTGACACACCCATCCTGATTACCCCAGTCACTGAATCAATCCACCTCATAGAGGGTCTTCCCCTCCTGCGCTGTCCCTCCACTCTGCCCAGCATGATGTCCCTCTCTAAAGACCTGTCTCTTTTTACAACATGTCCAAAGTATGTCAGGTGAAGCCCCAGAATCCTTGCCTCCAAGGAGCAGCCTGGTTTAACCCTCTCTAGGATGAATCTGTTTGTTTTCTTGGCAGTCCATGGTACATTCAATACTCTTCTCCAGCACCACAGCTCAAAGGCATCAATTCTCCTTCTATTCTCCCTAGTCATTGTCCAACTCTCTGATGCATAACAAGTGATTGCAAAAACCATGGCCTGTATCAGGCGCACCTTAGTCTTCAGAGAAACACTGTTGCTCTTGAGTACTTTAGAGAGGTACCTAACTGCAGACTTTCCCATCGCAATACATTTTTTTATTTCCTGGCTACTGGTGCCAAGAGTGTTGACCGTGGAGCCGAGCAAACTGAAGCTGTGAACACTCTCAATCTCTTCGCCACCCATCCTGATGCTACCGATTGGTCCAGTGGTGAGAATTTTTGTCTTCTTGACATTGAGCCTCAGTCCATATTGAAGGCTGCAGTCCTTGACCCTCTGCAGTAAGTGCATGAGGTCCTCCTCAGTTTCAGCGAGCAGGGTTGTGTCATCTGCATAACGCAGATTGTTGATAGATCGTCCACCAATCCTAATGCCACGCTTCTCCTCATAGAGCCCAGCCTCTCGGATAATCTGCTCTGCATACAGGTTGAAAAGGTATGGAGACAGGACACATCCCTGGCGTAAACCCTTCCTAATTTTGAACCATGCAGTGTTGGTCTGCTCTGTTCTGACGACTGCCTCTTGGTCCAAGTATAGGTTTCGTATTAGCACAATTAAATGTTCTGGGATTCCCATTCTCAGAGTCAGCCACAGTTTGTTACGATCCACGCAATCAAATGCCTTTGCATAATCAATGAAACACAGATAGACATTCCTCTGGTATTCTCTGCTTTCAGCTAAGATCCATCTAACATCATAAGTTAATTAATAAAAGATGGTCAGATGTAGGAGGTAAAATTCTTGTGAGTCCATGTTCAGACCTAACTCTGGGTTTGAATCTCAGTCTTGCTGAACTGTATGTTTACTAGCTCTATGACACAGAATAAGTTACTGTTTGTCTTACTAAATGAAGGTACTAATATTTAACTCAGAGTTGCGACAGTACTTCAATATATTTCAGAATCCTAGAAAACATTAAGTCTAGATAAAGGACAGCTAAGACCTTTGAAAGAATGAATTTTTTTTTCAAAGAGTTGCCTACTATCTATTGCATATGGCTTGGAATCTCCTACTGATACTATTTTTCAAAACAAATTGTTTAATATTAGAAAACGGTATATTCTTGTTAGAGCAGCAAAAGAACATGCCCTGTTTTTACATCTTACAAAAAAATCTTCTCAAGTAGAATTTCTGCACATTGGCATTACTGACTGTCCAAAGCATTGCAAGATTGTTTATCAGCTGCCAGTAGCATTCTACTCCCAGTCATGACACTCGAAAACATCTCCAGATAGTGCCAAATGTCCCCTCGGAGACCAAATCACCCTGATGGAGAGGCACTGCTTTAATGGAATAATACTGGACTGCAATGCCCAAAGATAGAGTAAACACTTGTACAATTCCTTCTGTGTATTCACTTATCATAACTACAGTACAATCTATAGAGAACAATGGGGTATATTTTAAAGATATTTCTAAATAACATGGAAAATAAAAATACAAATGAATCATCTTGAAGATAATTATCAACATGATGCTTTTAGTATATCTAGAAGATTTTAAACATTTAAAAAAGGTAACATCTCTCATTCAGCCCTACAAAATAAAACAAAAAGTTCAGTTTGATCCACAGAGTTGAGGATTCAAAGTCATTCTTTTACCTTTAGAGCTGAAATTATAGTTTGCTCAGCTGCTGGTGGCAATGAGTTCTGATTGGAAACCACCTAGAACAAGATTTAATCCAGTTATAGTTTTGCTGAAGTCATTTCTTTCTGTAATACTAACTTTGATCATGACATGATAAGGCTGCTTTCATAAGACATGCTATGGTGAGCTAGTGGTAAGAAGGTGTGCAGCAATTTCAAAGGCACACGGTTCAAACACACCAGCTGCTCCATGGTGATGGATGGGCAATCTCCTCCTGTGTAATTAACTGCTTCTGAAAACTCACTTGAGGGTCAGCTATGTGACCACAGGTCAGGGTAGAACTGTCCTACAGGGTGTGTAAAGTTATAGTTCTGGTGGCTTAACAGTAAGTAGTTGCACTGTCAACCCAAAGGCACATGGTTTGAACCCACCAGCTGTTCCACAAGAAAAAGATGAACAATCTCCTCTGAAAACATGCTGAAGTTACAAGTCAGTTCTGATTTCATGGTACAGAATCTAACAATAATCTTTGTGAAAGCAGACTGCCACATACTTCTACAGAAGTGCTGATAAGTCTGAACTTCTGAGATCTTAGTCCGCAGTCAGCACATAATCATTATACCAATAAGGCTCCTTAAGTAAGTTATAGGTTGTTGTTGTTTGGTGCCGCTGAGTCGTAGACAACTCATAGCGACACTATGAACGGAAGGCCTGAGCACTGTTCGTACATAGAGTTTCCAGAGGTAAGCCATTTGGGAAGTGGATGCCGCTCCTGCTTCCAGGCTAAGTTATAGCTACTGGCAATTATTTTAAAATACAATCTGGCATAGTTTACTTCACATTGTTGTTGTTATGTGCCGTTGAGTCATCTGCAACTCATTAGAGATCAAGTTTTCAAGACCATTATCTAACCTTGAGCCTCCTTCAGAGCTTATAAATATTTATCTGCCTTTTCACCAAATATTTTCAAAGTGATCTACAGAGAATTATAAAAAAGTAAGTCATGTATATATACCAAATTTGGTTGGAAGTATTGATTTCTTAATAATTAGGAAAAGTTCATTTTAGACATAATATATGAAGGCAAACAAGTTAAAGTTCTGTCTTTTCTTTCAAATGTACTAGGAGAAGGATGTAAAAAAGAAAAGTGAACATATGCTCTCCTTGCAAGTAATCATCAATTATATAAAAACTTGGGTTTTAAAGCCAAACTCCTCACCAATTTCTGTGCAAAGAGAGACATTTTTTTTTTTTACATGTTGGAGAGATCAAGAATTCTTATTTTGTCATACATTTTGAGCTAATATACTACCAATCACATAGTATCCAACTATGATTTTTCAGTAATTATGAAACATACATACTTCACTCCTGATTCATTTATGCAACAAATATGGATAGAATAACTGAAACTTGAGAATCTACAGCTATGTAATTTAAGATAAATGTATACTCAAAAAGAAACATAAACAACAAAGACCAGGACTAAAGAAAATCCAGTTTTATAGTCACCATGTTTTCATTGTTGCATTCTTTAAAACAAAACACATTTTGGAATACTAATTTATAAGCTGTCTAAACTTGATGTAAGAAGAAAGAACTTGAAATTAAATTATCTAAATATTAAAGCAAAATGAGACAAAAATTACCTTTGTTACTGACTGGTGAAACTTGTACAGTGAATTCACTACTGCCACATTTCTTTTTTGCCCTTCTGTAAGAGGCCCGATCACCTGACTTGCATCTCCCTGTGTGGAAAGCTGCAAGAAATTCAGTAACAACAAAAATTAAATTACTAATTGAGAGTCCAGAAATAAACTTATATACCTATGGTCAGTCAATTTTCAATAACAGTGCTAAGTTCATTCATGGAAGTATTGAAGCATTATTTATTATATTCTAAAGGTGGAAACAACCCAAATGTCCATCAGTAAATGAATGGATAAATACATACACAATAACATACTATTTGACTATAGAGAGAAGTATTGTATAACCCTCAACTGCATAAAATAGCTAGACTAGGAAAAAAGATGCATACAAATATGTATTAATCATACCAGGGGCTGAAAGGAAAAGTAATGCGGAATTATATGTAAAGCGTATTGACTTTCTGTTTCAGATAATGCTGTTTTGGGAATATGACAGTAGTAATGGATGCACAACACTGCGTGAAATCAATGCCATTTAATATGTTGGTCAAAATGGCAAACTCTATGTTATACGTTCTTTACCCATAAATAAATTACCAAAGTGATGCTTCATGCATGTATTATTGACTGCCTTTGAGTCGAGCATGACTCACAGTGCCCCTAGGAACAAAAGGCCTGAAGCCTTTCTATAACTATCGGCATTTATGAAAGTTCATAGATTTTTCGGAAACCTGGTGTTTAGGAAGTGGATGCCACTCCTGCTACCTGCACATATTTCTTCACCTAGGGATAATTCCACTCTGGTGACAGAAGAATGTTAAATGGAAATATGTAGGACTAGTTCTGGGGAGCTCTGGTGGCTTAGAGGTAAGGAGTTGGGCTGCTAATCCAAAAACCAGTGGTTTGCTTGTTTGCTGTTCCACAGGACAAGTTGGGAAATCTCTTCCCCTGAGTTTACTGTGTCTGAAAGCCTGCTGGAGGGGTTCCTAAATGAAGGAAATGAAAATAAGTTCAACTATCCAATGACTTCCTTCTCACTCAGAGCAAAGGACAAAAAACTCCTTACTATTTCCTGCAAGGGCCAGCAAGATGTTGGATTAAGTCTGAAGTTTAAAGGATATTAAATTGAGTTTCAAGAATTCTGAGTAAAAACTTTTTGTTTCAGTCAATATTCAGGAACATAGGTATAGAAGTAAAGTTGAAAAAGCAGTTCTTAAGAATTAAAGGACCCAGGGTTGAAAGTGACACTTCATGGAGATACAGTAGAAGACCAGAACACAAACGGCTTCAACAGCTATTAGACTACTATTGGTTTTTATGCTATTTCTACCTGCCTCAAGCCTTTTTCAATAGCAAAAATTAATTCATTAAAATTTCACAGTCAATTTAAAGACTAAGGTGAGCTTGACCCAAGCCATGATGTTTTCAGTTGCTTCCTATGCATTTGAAAGTTAGACAATGGAAATGATCAAAGAAAATCAATGCCTTTGAATTGTGGTATTAGAGAAGTGTATTATGTATTCAGCCGACTGCCAAGAGTATGAACAAATCCGCCTTGAAGAAAACACAACAGAAAACAACCGTGAGATATCATCTCACCCTAGTAAGAATAGCAAAATTTAACAGAACAGCAAGCAACTAATTCTGGCGAGGTTGTGGAGAAACTGGAACCCTTATTCACTGTTGGTGGAACTGCAAAATGTGGAAGGCGGTATGGCGCTTTCTCAAAAAGTTGCAAATAGAGATAGATACCATTTGACCCAGCAATTCCACTACTGGGAATATACCCCCAAAAGACCATAACTTCCAGCCAAGCAGATATATGCACACCATGTATATTGGCGCTTTGTTCACAATAGCAAGGAGCTGGAAACAACCTAAGTGCCCATCAACAAATGAATGTATCTCTTATCTCTAGCTGTGGCAAATTCACACAATGGAATATACTATGCTGCACTGAAAAACAAGGAACTCATGAAATATTATTCAAAATTGGTGACCCTGGAAGACATTATGCTGAGTGAAGTATCTCAGCAACAAAAGGACAAATACTGCAGTGTCACTATTGTAAAACAGGACTGACATCAGGGTTGGGGGGAGACTGAGAAAGATGGGATAAATAATGTACACTGCATTGAAACAGATATGGGAGAGAACTGTTTAAAAGGGATATGTGGGGGGAAAAAAAGGAATATGTGATTGGGTATTTTTGTCATGACAGGAGTGCAGAGTGAAGGCTGCATAGTGGAGTGGACCTGGGGGGAGGGATTGTAAAACAATGAAAGAATTTTTCTTTTACTTTTCAAAGAGGGGAGTGTACTGGGGGGAAGGGGTGGGTGGTGAGAAAAGTGCAACAATGAATGAATGGAAATCCAAAGTCTCTGTAAATTTTCATTGAAATTAATAATAATAATAAAATTTAAAACAAAACACAACACAGCAGGGTGCTCCTTAAAGGCAATGAAGATAAAACTTGGTCTCACATATTCGGATGATGTTATCAGGAAGGGGCTCATCCTTAGAGAAAGACATGGTGGGAAAAGTAGGTAAGAAAAGACCGGAGCATCTTCAACAAAATAGACTGACAGAGTGACTATAAAAATGGGCGTGAGTATGTCAGCTCTCATGAGGATGGCACAAGGCAGCAGAGTGATACAAAGTGTTCTTCTCAGGGTTAGAATTAGTCATAGCAGACGAGCCGACACAAAACAACAACTAACTTAGATGGCATTCCCGTGGCATAGTTAGTGGGGCACTGTGCTGCTAGCCCAAGGGACAAACCTCCTTGGTGATTTGAATCTACCAGCAGTGGCTCCTTGAGTGAAAGATGGACAATCTCCTCTCCTGTGTCTTAACAGCTTCAGAAACCTGCTGCAGGCTCAGCTACAAGTAGGTTCCACAACTATGGCAGCGAGTCTGAGTCTGAGTTTAACTACGTTTATTAGCAAAGATGGTGCTTACATATGTTTTGAATTGACAAAAGTGAAAATAAGACGTTTGGACCCAAACAAAGGAGGGATAGATACATTCATTTCTACTTTCCTCAAATTTCCGGAACTTGTAGCATATTTAATTTTGGTAGGTTCATTTTCAGAAATTGTTGGATGTTTGAATTGGAAAAGGGGTACCTATCTGGAAGAGTGTTGTTGTTGTTATGTGCCATCGAGTAACCTACGACTCATAGTGACCACTTCTAGACTTCAGTTTCTGATTTGTGTCGAGCTTCAGTTTTCTTTTTCTAGGATTTGCTTTTAAATCTTTGAGACTCACTAAACATGGTCTAGGATTCATAAAGGCCTGCTTGACCTGCTTTCAAGTCCTGAACCGAATGACTGATCTCCCATAAAGTTAAGCTATATCTATGGGACAACTCCCTACACTATTTTAAGTGTTTTAAAAATAATTTTAATTGAAATATAAAGAATATGTGATGTTCCAGTGCACAGATAGATTACCACCAATAGAACTGCAACTACTTCAGACAAAAACCACCTTAAACACTTTATAAAGTTACATTAAACATTTTATAAAGTTACTTTAAACTCTCTATAAAACTACATTAAACACTGTATAAAACTTTCCCTTTGATGCCAATTCACTCATAGCTCCTCTTTTCTCCTCCATATGACTTCTTTACATAGCTGTAATTACTAAGGACACAATATATTACTACTTCATTTACAGTTATGTAACTACGTATTTTCTTTTTCAACACTGATACATAGAAATGTAGGTAAGCTATGGTTTGCTCATTTTTTTAAATGCTGTATACCCTGTTAAAAATGTCATGTCCTCCCAGCGCTGGCTGAAAATCGCCTGTGACTTCATCCATAGCCACTGGTGAGAGTCAGCGCCCAGAGCCATCAGGGGCTTTAAGCTCGTTGCCCACTGCTGTGGTGTGGACAGCTGAAACCCAGGCCCC